AAGCTGTGCTTCTCTCCAACCACCCGGTCCTTCTAAATAAACCAACCATGCTCAAACTAATGCTGCTACATTCCTCAGACTGGAGCAAAAGCAGCCATGTGTTACCTCAGACATGTGAGATGATGTAGAGACAAGCATAGTGTGCAGCAGCTCTCCCCTCAGCCAGGTTGGCTGCCAAGCCGCCACATATCTCAGTACAGCAGAAACATGTGTGTGTGTGTGTGTGTGTGTGTGTGTGTGTGTGTGTGTGTGTGTGTGTGTGTGTGTGTGTGTGTGGTGGGGGGGTTACAGGAAATCTAAGGCCTTTGACTTTGATCTCTGGAGTTCAGCCCATTTAAATGTTTGTATTTGAGACGTAGACTTTAATTTAGTCCTGATGGGTTCCAGACTGTTGGGGTTTAGCCTGGCATGTCGGATACACGAGTGTTTATACAGCCTCTGCTGGTGCTGAAATAAGTGCATTAAGATGGATGGATTTACTTAGTCTCTAACCTCAGGGACTCAGGAGAAAACTCTCAATAACCTCTGTGTTGCAGGAGAGGACAGAGGGAGGCTAGTACCCACCGCTGCCCCGTGACTACACCTGGCTTCACCTGTGCGCCAGCTGTTCCATTAAAACATCTGGCTGCTTATCTATGCATTCAGCAAGTCAAATATCTACTAAGATGACTGGAAACACTAGAGCTGAAAAGCAGAACTGGTACGACAGGCAGGACTAAACCAAGCCTGCACCAGGGGATAAGTTAGGAGTTGTTGTCTGACCCTTTTTAGTGGACCAGCAGTGGAGTCGGCTTTCCACTGAGCATCCAGTCAAGTTCCACAGTCAGTCGTGATTGCTCCACACACAAACCCACACAGCTAGAGGTCAGTGCCGGGAGCCTAGGGCAGTGAAGCAGCACCGCTGCTGTGAAAGGCCAACCACCTCTTTCCAGTCAGCTGACTGGGTTAGGAAGCTGCCGGGGTGATTGTTGCTCTCTACATCAGAGATTACAGCAGGTGGTGGCGTGCAGCCTGGAAGCTCACAACGCTCTTTAACTGGGCCTGCTCTCAGGAAAGCTGCCTCCCACATGGCAGGAACACGCTCTAAGGCAGCCGAGCGCTCCATCTTCTGCTCTGATATGTGCCACAAACGTTCACCTCCGCTTCTCTCATTCCACTGGAGCACAGGATGTCCTTAAACAATGCCATCAGCGCTGCCAATGACACCATCCACACGACACACTACACCCTCCCCCAGTGACAGACGTACTCCACACCGGCGCCAGCCCCGGGTCTCGCTGTAATACCGCGTCATTTTCAACTCCAGTAAAGCATGCTGAGGGGGGACTGAAGATAACACACACAGCTGCAGGAGGCATCTCAGGAGGGGGATTATTCTGGAACAGCTTCCAGATTATTTCATATTATTATTTATTATTTTCAACATTTTCAGACATACATCCAGAACACTCTGGTGATGGGAATTGGGCATTATTCACAGGTTAACCGTGATCGGCCAACCTGAAACTCAGACAGCAATTTTTTTTATCCATCTGTGAATGCACCCTCGCCAATCAGCTATAAAATATTTGACAGTTTTCCCTCTCCCCAGCCAATTGGGCCAGCTCTTCCAGGTGAATCCCAAGGCGTTCCCTGGCCAGGTGAGGGACAAAGTCCCTCCAACGTGTCCTGGGTCTACCTTTAGGTCTCCTCCCGGTTGGACGTGCCTGGAAAACCTCACCAGGGAGGCGTCCAGGAGGCATCCTGACCAGATGCCCGAGCCACCTCAACTGGCTCCTCTCGATGTGGAGGAGCAGCAGGTCTACTCCAAGCCCCTCCCGGATGACTGAGCTTCTCACCCTATCTCTAAGGATGAGCCAAAGCCAAACTGCACAGAAAACCCATTTAGGCTGCTAAAAACACCCCACAATAGTAAATGCACTAACTTGGACCGGATACATGACAGGATACAACAGAACATCACTACGCCCTCGGTTGCAACACGACCTAGGAGACGGAGAAGTCCACGAGCAAAACGTCTCTGTCCCTGCGTGTCTCTCCCTCGTGGAGCTGAAGGGGAAGTATAAATTAGGCTTTAGTCGACGCATCATAACGACGTTGACGAACAAAATAGTTGACAATAAATTTAATAGCCGATGCATCATTTATTCTCTGAGCAGTTTTCCTGACCGAGGCCTCCTGTTGGTCACGGACATGGGACCCCTGTCCATGGTCGGCAGTCAAGGTTTGAAAGAGATCATCAAGCAGTTCAACCCAGAATTCCCCAAGAACTACCTACCAGGCCACTTCACCATGATGGAAAAGAAATCTGAAACAATATTTCAGAAGGTGTGTGTGTGTGTGTGTGTGTGTGTGTGTGTGTGTGTGTGTGTGTGTGTGTGTGTGTGTGTGTGTGTGTGTGTGTGTGTGTGTGTGTGTGTGTGTGTGTGTGTGTGTGTCTGGACACAAATAAAATAATAGAATTTAATGTATTTTATGATCAAATAAAAAGCTTTGTTGTGTATTTTCGGTTTTAGGTGCCTACCTCCATGTGACTGCAGCATTTGTACTAACAGCTTACAAAGTAAATTAAAGTTGTTTGATAAGCGATCACCTTGTCTTTATTATTAGATGGTACATATCTGATCCCACTTATATTAGCGCATCCTGGTGCATTAAGCTATATATTTATGCATGACACGATTAGTCGACTATTAAAATAGTGGTTTGTGCCAGCCCTAATATCCAGTGCAGTCCCTGCACTGGCCACACAGCCCACACCATGATGGAACCAACACCATGTTTTACTGTAGGGAGCAGGTGTTATTCTTGGAATGCTGTGTTCTTTTTCCTCCATGCATAACTCCCCTTGTTCTGCTCAAATACCTCAGTTTTATTGTCATCAGTCCACAGCACCCTATTCCAGAATGAAGCTGGCTTGTCCAGATGTGCTTTAGCATACCTCAAGCTGCTGTTTGTCCTGTGGGCAGAGAAAAGGTTTCCTCTGCATCACTCTCACATACAGCACCTCCTTGTGTAAAGTGCACTGAATAGTTGAAGGATGCACAGTGACTCCATCTGCAGCTAGATGATGTTGTAGGTCTTTGGGAAGGTCTCTGGTCTGTGGATGACTGACTGTTCTCTTCTGCTGATCTGAGATGTTTCTTGGTCTGCCACTAGGAGCCTTAACTTGAACTGTGCCTGTGGTATTCCATACCCTCAGTATGTTCCTAATTGTGGAAGCAGACAGCTGAAATCTCTGGGACAGATTTCTGTATCTGTCCCCTAAACCATGATGGTGAACAATCTTTGTTTTCAGCTCATGTGAGAGTTGTTCTGAGACCTCCACGTTGCTGCTCTTCAGGGAATGATAAAGAGGAGGGAAACTTACAATCGGCCCTCTTAAACACTCCTTCTCATATTATCAGTGACCTTTACTGGGCCCACCCATGTTTTATTAGACCAAGCTGGCTCTGCTACTGGTTACAATGTGTGTAAATAATTACTCTAAAAAGGAAGAAAGCTGTAGTTTGGTGGGATATACTTGTCTTCTCCACATTACCTTCTCAAGTCAAAGACTGTTTTCCATTTGTGTTCAAACCAACAAATAAATGGCGAGTTTCCTGCATCAACTTCGGGGCAAATATTGAGACTGAGCGCCTCCCAGACGAGCCCCCTCTCTTTATGCCTGGTTTTGGTTGCATTGGTGCACTGCTAATCCCCTCTAACAGAAAGAAATACCAGAGCTCTTTCCTCTCCAAGCACCTGGATTGTCTTACTCGCCTGTGCAAAAGCAACAGGCATTAGCATATGATAGGCGGAGATGGACAGAGGGAAGAAAAGAGGGGTTATTTACATGGAAATGGGGCCAAGATGTGGGGTTCATCCCACAGCAGAGAGAGAGAGCATATTCCCCGAGTCAGGTTCTTTTTTTTGGGGGGGGGGGGGGGGGGGGGGGGGGGGGGGGGTTGCACTCTGTTGATTTAGGCTGCCCAAACGAGGCCTTAATCTTTTCAAGGGATCCACGTTGAAAAGGAAAGCACAGCCATTGAGCTAACCAGAGCGAAGCACAAATCTGGCCCCGGAGCCAATCACGGGCCACATGTGGGAAACGTGCATGGAGGTCCGTAAAGGGGGTGGAGGGATGAGAGCTATCATCAGAAATCTGCCCCATTTCATCACCACCGAGGTCATAACCCCTGCTCTCCTGGTCTACCCCCCCTCATTACACAGGAATGTTCATTCACACATGGCTCCATCATCATCACTGAAAATAGGGCCAGCTGCTTTTAACAGCTAATTAGTGACTTGACAATGAGGTCACGTGTGGTCACAGTTCACATCCTCCTCCTGCACATCACAAACCACATAATCCAACATCCCGCCTCCCAACAAGCCTGGGATGGATGGGTTGTGTAGTGATTCAAATGACTACAGGAGACAGGAAAACACCCCTGGGATGAAGACGATGATAGTGATAATAATAATATAAATAATAATAATAATAAGAATAGTAATAGTAATAATAATCATAATATAAATATTATGATTATTATTATTGTTATATTAATTATATTAATAATGATAATAATAGTAATAATGACCCACACTTGTATGGTGCCTCTCAGAGTAAGGACTCCAAAGCGCTTTACACTACGGTGTATCATTCATCCATTCACACACACATTCACACACTGATGGTGATGTGCTACGATGTAGCCACAGCTGCCCTGGGGCGCACTGACAGAGGCGAGGCTGCCGAGCACAGGCGCCACCGGTCCCTCCAACTACCACCAGCAGGCAAGGGGGGGTTAAGTGTCTTGCCCAAGGACACAACAGCAGAATTCTCTGTCTGGACCCGGGATCAAACCCGCAACCTTCTGATTACTGGACAACCCGCTCAACCTGTTGAGCTACTGCTGATAGTAATAGCAATAACAATAATTATATAAATAATAATAACAATATATGATGATGATAATAACAACAACAACAACAACAACAGACAACAGAGTCTGTACCTTTAAATGTGGCTGAGCTGAAAGTTTTCTCTGAACTCGCATCGGAAACCTGGAAAAGATGAGACTGACATGAGCGAAGGATCCAACCGGAAGCTGACGTCCTCAAGTTGACTGCAGATTAAAATGTTTGTATGTTCTGGTCCTAGTTCCAGTGGTGACCAGGTGGGGGCGCTGTTGCTCTGTGCCAGAGACGCCCAGGCAGCAGCAGCTGCTGTGATGGACTCAACCCTGAACTAGACAATGCCTCCAGAACCTGCCCTGCTGTAGGTGGAGGAGAAGCCTCATCAGGAGGACAGCAGCCGACTGGGTCCTGCACGCGCTAAAGCTCCTCCTGGAGCGCGTGCCGTCCACCACCAGTCCCAGTCAGACCATTAGAGCAAACACAGCAGCATTTAATTACCTTTAGATGTTGGAACGGAAACAAAAGTCAGAAGTGACTTTCTCGCGTTTCTCATTCTGCTGCTGCCGATGTAATCCACACAGGAGCCGCTCCAGGTAAACAACTAAATCCAGCAGGTCCGCGGCGCTACTGCGCCTTTTGGACAAAGGGATCCATGCAGGGAGCACGTCCGCGTGCACACACAAACAGCAGAAATTCCGATCCCGCTTCTTTCCGTCGATTCTCCAGTTGGAAGTATACGTGGGACCCGGGAGGGGTCGCGTGACCGTGCGCGGGAACGAGCTGCGCACAGACGGAATAAACAGATCCAACAAAGCGCACCACTCTCCGTCTGTCCTGTGAATACGCAGAGACGCGGACGCACGTGTCCTTACAGGTTCCCGGTCAGGGAGGCACAAACCTCCTCCCATCCGCTCCCAAATCCCGGAGAAACTCTCATCCAGACACGGCTGCGCGGTTGGGTCCTCCCACTTCCTGATCTCCTGGCGGACTTGGACTGGACCTCAGGATGAATATGAAAGCTTGGCTTGGTGGCAGGAGGCGCGCGCTTGTCTTTAAATGACGCGCAAAAGGAGAGAGTTACGCCGATGTAGGGATGCAGGGTGAGGGAGGAAGACGGTGAGGGAGAGAGGAGGGCAAGGTGAGGGAGGGAGGCAGGGTGCGGGAGTGATGGAGACTGGGCGAGGGAGAGAGTCAGGGTGAGGGAGGGGTAGGAAGATCCTTGACTGTAGTGAGATGATGTCAGCCCCAGTAGGGAGCTGCTACCATGGGGAGGAACATCAAGCGCTCCTCCCTCGGCCTAATGGGTTGGCAGCATCCTCCAAGGTCCAGTCTGACGACCAAACCAGGACCTGCTGGGCTGTTATCACCTTTCTGGGATGTGACACAGGAGATTCTGGAGCCCTGTTCCTGTTCCACCTTGGAATAACGTGACTCATCAGGTTCTACACCTGAATTAACACAACCGGGTTCCTACAGGGACAAATGGCATTCATGTATGGGTGATCGTGAACATCTACAACCAGCTGCTGAACAAACCAAGAGCAGTGCTGGTGTTTAACAGGAAAGGGTGTCCTGGGTGGATGTGACTCACTTGAACTGCTGATCTAGAACCCCGTTTCCCAGGCTGCAATCCCTCATTACTGAAGTCCTAATGCTGGATGTGACGGAACAATCTTCTTAACAGGGCAGGACTTTGCATCCTTTATCTAGTCTAATGGGCATTGCCCGAGTGGCGAGGGTCAAAGGGCTCAGCCTGAAGAACCAGAGATGCTGCTCCACTTTTCACCTTAGCAGGACTCTTTGAGTCTGACAGCCCTAAATTGCTATCAGAATCTGTTTTATCCACATATGTTACAATGCAAGGATTCATGTAGGAGACCCTGTTCTGCCCCTGGTTCTGTTGGGATCCAGTTCAGCCAGAAAACCGACGATGAGCTCATCAGTCCAACCCTTTGGACAGGGGAGTGAAACAACTTAGCTTTTCAGCAGCAGACATTCAAACACGTGCAGCAGGAAGTCAATCACTCCTGCTTTAATGCTCCAACCCTGGTTAGGTCAGCCTAACCCTTAGGTGTTTGCAGCGCTGATGAAAGGTGACGCATCGGGACCAATAGTACGGCTTGGCTTTAAAAGCTACCGATGCCTGTCCGGTTCTGTAAAGCTGCAGCAGCGATGAATGAGCTGCTGTTCTCCATTTTGCATGCCTGTGACAAACACACCACCACTGATCTCCCTCCACTGGCTGTTTTTAATTCTGATGGGATGCTGAAACACTAAATGGAGAAAAGTTGCAGTTTCACATGGAAAACAACTAGTCTGTGTCACAGAACGAAGCAATAAGATCAAACACAACATCTGGATTTCTGCATTAAAGCTGTGTGGTCATGCACGTTCCACTGCTGGACGGTGTCTCAATTTGCAGGACCTGAGAAAATAATGTAGATTCAGGACTGTCGCACAGAAAGCAGGAACCGTGGTCACCCTCACGGCAGCATATCAGCCAATCAGGAGGCTCAGAGCCACAGAGTCTGGGAAGGTGAGCAGGATTAAACCATTTTGGAGACAGGGGAGATCTGCTGTATTTTTGTTTTTAAAACATAATATTTTGACTTATTATATGGTTTTAATATATTACTGATGAGTTAAAAATCACCACAAACAGGAAAAATAAATAGATAATTAAATGAATGTCAAACTTTAGGGGTGCTGGGGGTTGAATTTAGGGGTGCTTCAGCGCCCCCCCCCCCCCCCCCCCCCCCCAATAAAAAACGCTAGAAACGCTCATGCCATAACCCTAACAAGAACCAATGGGGTTCTGTTCTTAACCTTCACCTAAACTAAAAGTGAATTCACACCAACCCTCTAAAGCTGAGGTTTAGGGTGCTTAGCACTGGTGGACCAGCAAAATGTCCCCATAATGTGGAAATGTTCACAGGTTATGGGTTAGAGACACAATGTGTCCACTTAAGCATATAAAGACAAGTACACCCCCCCCCACCCCCCCCCCCACCCCACACACACACACACACACACACACACACACACACACACACACACACACACACGAGGGATGATCAGATCATGTTTGATGAAATTGCTGTTCAGAGCTGCAGTGGTGCAGCCTTCTGCAGATACAGACTGATCAGTAAAAACAAATTTTCATCAAACACCTGATACTCTAAACGTGGACCTGCTCCTCCTCTCTGGTAATTCAAAAATAAATCACTGAATGACCTGCGTGCCCTCGCAGCCGTGAAGCACACAGATGGTTCCCTTTGCAGCAGCCCTCCCTGGTGCAGCCTTCACTAACACCTAAGGATGCTGATGTGGTATTGCACCATTTTACTTGTGTTTTCTGATTAGAATACCAGTATGCCAGAATTCTTACAATGCACCTCTTTCACTTAATTTCTGAAAAAGTGGTTGACCCTGTCAAATGCCTTAGAACCATCAACACTGTTGAGTTCTGCCTTAAATAAAGCTAAGCTGTCTCATTCAGGCCATAGCTACACAGATCTGTTCCCAGCTTGGGGTTAAAGCCAAACTGGCTGTGCGTTGTGGTTATATAGTGACACAAACCATCAAGCAGTATCAATGCAATTAAAAGAAACATGTTTTTCTGAAGCCAGAAGTGTTGCCGTGGCGACGTTTCACCGCTGCCTTGCAGATCTCCGATGACTTCTCTGGGATGTTAGCTTCATACGATGCTTACGTGATTGTCTGTGAAGCCGGGAACAGGTTCACTGCACAAAGGTGCTGTGGTCTATTACTGCTTCAGTGGCGCTCTCTCGGTCCGCGAGGCGATGCCTCTTTCAGAAGCGTTTTCCAAACAGGAAGTGTGGATGAAATACGTCTCCATCCAGGCCTTGACTCTCACTTTAAGCTAACTTTATAGCTAACAAGCCTTTAGTTTAGCGCCATGTACAAAACAAGGAAATCAAAGGCAGTATTCAGTTAAAAGGAAGCTCTTATTTGCAACTTTACATAAATTAGGTTTTGGGAACTACCTTCATACTTGCCTTGGTCTGATTCGGCATGTCTTGGGTGAAGCACATACCTCAGATCATGACAGAATCATCTGGCCAAAATTCAAACCCAGCAGAATCAGCCTTGTCTAATCTGTCTCAACGTTTGAGCCAACAAGAACAAAATCTCCCTCTTGTCATGGAACAACTCTCTGCAGTTAATCAGCGATACCAGCAACTGGAAACCCTAGTCCGTCAAATTCATGAGACCCTCTCCCAAACGAATCAACCACCCCAACCATCAGTACTGCCATCAGCAGCTTCTACATCAGTAAGTCCTTCCAGTCAGGAGCAAGCTTCTCCCATGGAGAACTCATTTTCGTTTGGCACCCTCACCACAGACTGAAACTTTTAGGGGTGAGTTTGATGACTGTAACAGCTTTTTATTACAATGTAAGCTTGCTTTTGAACGTTGTCCCTCGGCCTTTATCTCGGACTCTGCTAAGATCTCATATATTGTTGGATTGTTAAGAGGACGGGCTCTTAGGTGGGCTGAGGCAAAGAGTCATGACGATTCGTTTTTACAAGGACCTTATAATATTTTCCTCTCTGATTTTAAACTCACTTTTGGCAGACACGAGTCCCTCTAAGATATAAGGAAGAAGCTCTGGACACTCTCTCAAGGGAAAAGATCCATGGCGGATCTTGCCGTGGATTTCCGCATTCTAGCGGCCAGAACAACTTGGAATGAAGACGCCCTCATAGGAGTGTTTACAGAGGCCTTGAGTGACAAGGTGAGGAACCAATTATCCTTGTGTCCAGAACCCAGTACACTGGAGGAACTCATCAGACTAGCCATATCAATCGATAAACGTCAACGGGAACTCAGCAGACACACCCCCGTACCAGCAGCAGCCGCAACCCATGACCAGAACCCAGGCACTTCTAATCGCCTACAACCTGACACAGAGGAGCCTATTCAGATGGGGGAGAGAGAGCATCGCCAAAGGTCAGGACTTTGTTTGTACTGTGGAACTGCAGGACATTTTGTGAATAGATGCCCAAAACTGCCAAAAGGCAGAGCCCGCCGGTAAAACTGGGACTACTGGTGGCTGGAGATTCAAATTATTCTGGTTCCCGGTGTTTTTTCCCATGTGTTTTGTCTGTAAATTCTAGACCTGTGACACTTGAAGCGCTATTGGATTCTGGCTGCGAGCAATCTCTCTTGGACGAGAGAGTGGTAGAGAAATGGAAGATTCCTACCACCAGGCTACCCACACCCCTCTCAGTCTCATCATTGGACAATAAAACCCTCACTACCATTACCCATCAAACCATTCCTCTACATCTCATGGTCTCAGGTAATCACTCAGAGATGATTATATTCTTTGTGTTTCCTTCTCCTCAGTCGCCGTTGGTTCTGGGTCACTCCTGGTTGGTTCAACATAACCCCTCTTTGGACTGGAGAAAGAATCAGATTTTGGGTTGTAGTCCGGAGTGCCCGCAGAGTTGTTTGAGTTCTGCCTTACCTCTTGGTCAACCATCACCACCTTCGCCCCCAGAGGATATTGACCTCACAGCAGTCCCTCAGGTCTATCATGACCTCCGCCAGGTATTTAGTAAAGATCGTGCCTCTTCCTTACCTCCCCACAGACCATACGATTGTGCCATCGATCTCCTGCCGGGGGCTCCACTGCCATCGAGCCGGTTATACAATCTCTCCAAGCCCGAGGGTGAGAGCATGGAGAAATACATCCAAGATTGCAGGCTGCTGGTACCATTCGCCCTTCTTCGTCTCCCCTGGGTGCAGGTTTCTTTTTTGTTCCTAAGAAGGAGGGAACTCCCAGACCCCGCATCGATTACAGAGGCTTAAATCAGATAACAATCCGTAATAAATATCCTCTTCCCCTCCTTTCTTCCACCTTTGAACCCATCCAGGACGCAACTATCTTCAGCTGTTTGGATTTAAGAAATGCCTACCACCTGGTGAGAATCCGTGAGGGGGATGAGTGGAAAACTGCTTTCAAAAAACCCATTAGGACATTACGAATATCTTGTTATGCCGTTTGGATTAACTAATGCTCCAGCCGTATTCCAATCATTGGTCAACTCTGTTCTGGCAGATTTTCTAAATCAATTTGTAACAGTCTACCTAGATGACATCATCATATTCTCCAAAGACCCAACACAGCACGTTTAACATGTCAGAGCAGTTTTACAATGCCTACTGGAAAACCGTCTGTACG